ATCTCATTTTACACTCCTCACAAGTTTATTTTTCTTTCCTCTTATAAAAAGTTTGAAGTGTAGAATGTGATTTTTGGAATGCTAATAACAATTCCCATTATTTAAACAAAAAAAGTCATCTCCAAATACTTAAAAAAAGGGTTGAGGGCAATGGCTAACTATGTTTTACGCACTCTGGGTTTGATCTGGTTTTTTGGATGGATCGTGAAATTTTAATTTTCTGACATCACAAACAAAAGAAACAAGAAAAGGGTCGTGATGATGATCTTATGTTCATTTTTGTTTTGCTGATGATCGTAAGCTATGTCCTCCATCACGACATTGAATGATATCAAATCTCAGGGACATGGTCTAATCATGAGTGTAGCATTGTATGATGATGTCGAATCTCAAGTTATGCTTACCTAGTTGCATGATACATCAAAAAGAGAAAACAAAAAGCAGAGTTTAAAGGGCAATGAAGAAGCTTGTTGGTGTAGCCTTGTCGATGCTTTTTTGCCTTTTCTTTGCTATAATTGAGCGTAGAAAGTATGAGAAAGCATCTTTTGGAGATTTTGAAATTGTATTTAAAGAGAAGTATGCACAAGTATAACAAATTTTCTTCCATGGTATATACCAAAGTGTTCCATAAAATCATTGATTTAAATCTTGTACATAGGGATCAAATGAACTTTGTAGCAATTAGATCTTGCATAACATACGTACCACTGTATAAGGCGTAACATTGTAGTCAATTCCTAAGTGTAATTGATTTAAAAAAAAAATTAGTTGAAATCAAAACCCAAAGGACATTTAGAGCCTGTTTGGTACTCTTCTTGAATCCAACATTTTAAACTCAAAAACAATTTTCAAGTTTTAGGCTTTAAAAACTTGTTTGGTAGAACTATTTTCAAAAACTGAACTCAAGACCAACTCAAAAATAGTCTATTCTCTAAAAGCATAAAAAGTGACTTTTTAGAGTTTTTAAACTTAAACTCACTCATTTATTTTCTCTCCCTCCTCCCCTCTCACTCCAAATATATCTCTCTTTTCTTCTTTCTCTCTCCCCCTTCTCGTTTTTTTAGGAAAAATTAGAATCCCCTACACTTTTCTAATACTATTTAGATTAAACATTGGTTCTATTTTAAAATTTGATTAGAACGCCTAAACAATAGCCATGTCAGCATTTTTATATTTATTTAGATTACATGTAATTATTGTGTTTTTTTAATTTAAAATGTTAATTATTAAATTCCATATATATCCTTTTAGGTTGATATATTTTTGTACATGGCCTTTTTTTTAGGAAGCCAATTTCTTCTCTCACGTTTGAGCCGTATGGTTTCTTCTCCCACATTAGAATTATGTGATCCTCAATTATGAATTTTGAATGGACTTGTCCATTTCAATTAGTGGTTATTTTCACTATTTTATATTGATATCATGTGAGATAAGTAGATGTATTCTCTATTTTCGAAGGCTTTAGGCTGGTACGTTCAAATAATATATTTAAACGTACCATATACGTACCAAGAAGATATATAAAGTAACGTACCAAATATGTTTTTTAAAATAAATATAAACGTACCAAAATAATATATGAACGTACCAAATACGTACCAAGAATAAAGTAACGTACCAAATATGTACCAAGGAGAAATATATGTTTAATCAAGAGGAAATATATGTACCAAATAAGTTTTTTTTTTTTTTTAATAAATAAATATAAACGTACCAAATACATACAAAAAAAAAAAAAAAAAAACAAACATACCAAATATGTACCAAGAAGATATATTAAGTAACGTATCAAATATGTACCAAGAAGAAATCTACGTTTCATGTGTAATTTGAAAGATTTTTTGACACACCCCAACCGAAATCAGGGCATGCTGGCCGTCACGTGAGGGTGACGTAACCATGTGCACAGTGCGGAAGCTAAGAATAATAATAAAAGTACGAACAAATAAAAATCAAACTAAACACAGAGTGGTTAACATACATGAGCAAGCGTAAGTGTGAAAAACAATATTCAGAGCACAGAAAACCTAGTGCAGTCCAGAGGAACAAACACTACTAAACACACCCAGAGGGGGTCCTACACTGGAGATAATCTGTCAGATATGCCGTGAATTCCTCGAGAGCCACCAAAAGAGCAATCCAAACTAGAACCTAGAGGGGCGCAAAACAGAAAGTGTGAGTGGGCAAAAACAAAGCTTTTCAAAATCATTTCATTATCAAACGTTTTAACCCCTCGCCGTAAAACCTGTATAGTTTTCCAGAAAATAGAATATACACATATATAGAAAACATGCTTAGAAATATGCCATGTCGAATGCCTCTACATAAACTGTAAGTAACCCAGGTAATGTCAATCAATGCAATGTAATATGTCAGCTGGAGTCACCTAACGTGACCTGTACGGCTGAATCTAGAGCTCAAATCTCTAACTCACTAACTATACTTGCACACGAGTCGGAACCACCTAAAATGGTCTGTACGACAGGACTGGGTGTAAATAAATACGTGAAGACTGAGCGAATAATCGCGGGTCACCTACGAGTCGGAACCACCTAAAGTGGTCTGTATGACAGGACTGTGCACCTAACTTGGATCCAAGATGAGCGTGTGGTGCGGGAGGTGAACATCACGTGAAGGACTGTGCCCTACTCTGGGCGGGAGCACTAACATCGAGGGTGCATGTTATAAGCTCTCTATGTATCTCACATAACTACTAATTAAAATCATAAACCATAACTTACCTGGCACTTACCTATGCGTCCGCAGCACCAAATATACATATATGCAACTACTAATGCATAAATAGATTGGCAAACACTATGCATGGCATTTAAAACATATAAATATTTCATTTCATTTTCTGGGAAAAACCACAGTATATAGGTATATACGGAAAACCAAAAGCCCACTCACTGGTATGTGGAAGCGTCGTAACCCCCTTGCCTCGAGTGACTGCACTCGTCCTCAGGATAGGTCTCACCTATATGCGAAACAACTATAAAAACGTTAATTTAAAGCACATAATCAAAACTAGGTGATAACTTCTCATACAATGCTCAAATGGGGTGTATGAATACACCAACGTGATCTACTCAACCTCACGAACATCCCCGTATTTTTAAAATAATTTTCTGACTTCACACGCGCCCCCACGCGTCGGCCAAGGCACGGCTAGACGCGTTGGCCATGCGCAGGCACGTGCCTGGCACATGGACGGAACCCCTAACGGCGTAGGGAATATTCCGTCTAACAGTAAGCATATTCCGTTAAAACTAACCTGATGTCATTAAGAATATTCCGTTAACTTAACAGAATATTCCCCTGTCTTCTCCGGTGAGTCTCGCCAGAGCCGCCGCCGTCTGCATTGCCGGAAACTGGGAAAATTTTCAAAACTTCATATCTTCTTCATTTCTCAACCAAATTCCATGAAATTGGTACCAAAATGAAGCTTACAACAAGTAGAACAAAACCTTACCACTTTGGAGCCCTAAAACCAACGGAATCTCATCGGAAAAACCCACGATATTTCGGCCAAACCTGCAACTCACTGAAACTGAGCTTCCAGACGTCCAAAACGCTTCAACTTTCTTCCCTGAGCTTCGTGAGGCCTCCTAAAGCTCCTTGTGACCTTAAAAACTCCTATAAACTTCATGATCACGCGTGCATGAACAGTGCACATAATTGGAATTCCCTGGTTCTCGGGTTTTCGAGGGTTTCACGTCCAACAAATGGTATGGATGAGTTCCTGAGCTTGCTAAGAGTCTAAAACCCACCTTCAAACCTTTGATCCGTGCGTGGAAGATTGAAGTTGAAGTTCATCCGTACAACTTGTAAAGAAAATGGAAGAAGTTCAAGAGAGAAGAGAGAAAGAAAGGGAGTGTGGTATGGGTGTGTGTGTGTGTGTGTGTCCTGTAGAGTCAACCCCCAAAAATAACAAAACAACACCCCACAACACCAAATAACGTCCAAGGGCATTTTAGTCTTTTCACACCTACGGTACAAATAATTCGGGACAGGCTGTCACACTTTTTATTAAAATTGAATACTACAATATTTATCTACAAGATTTTAGGAGTTTTGAGATATTATATAAGAAAATTAAAAGGTATATTAAATATAATGGCAAGTCGCATTCATGGGTATTTTGAAAGACTTTTTATTGGAATTAAATTCTACAATATTTATCTACAAGATTTTAGGATTTTGATGTATTATCTAGGAATTAAAAGGTATATTTATATAATGGCAAGTTGGGTAATTTAAATTATAAAAAATGCTACTTCTAACCCATGTGGCACCTAAATTGTAGGAAAATGCTTAATCAAAACTCTAAAAGGCATAAATGTTTAATCTCAAAATTTTAAAACCTAGGCGTCTATATCAAAACCCCCATTTTTTTTATTACCTTTTTCATCTCTTCTCCAATCCGCTTTTTTCGTTCTCTCGATTCATTCTCTCACTATCTTCCTCTCTATCTCCTCCGATCCTCTCACTTCTTTCTCTTTCCTCTAATCATCTCTTACTTTCTTTCATCCTCTCTCATCTTTTTCTCTCGACCCCCTTTTTTTGGATCTCTTTGTCCAGTTTAAGTTATAAGATTTAAAAATTTTAAATTGCATATCAAACAAGTTTTTGAGTCTTAAAGAAAACTGTTTTCAAGAAAAAATTTTAAAAAATGTTTTGAGAAATTATAAAAAATTTCAAATAAGATACCAAGCAAACCCTTAGATGTTGATTAAGAAAAATACTCGGTCCCTTTGTACATAAGCATATGTTATTTCATTTATGATTTTAACATCACTTTTAAAACGTTTCTCAATATAATTTATTTTTAAAAAAAATGCCGACAAATTCCAACAGAAGACAGAACATGTTACACATGCGTACTTTTTTGACATTCGCAATCGCGGAGCACACTAGATTTTTTTGCATGTGTCGTGGCGCATTTCTAAGCGACAAAAACCGCCAAAAGTAGGTAAAAATCACAACGTAATTAATCCACGCTCCCTCTCACTTTCCCTCTCCCTCTCCCCAAACTACCTAAAGCCTCTCTCTCCTCCCTTTCTCCCTCTCTCTCTGCAACTCAAAAGAAAAAAGACTTTTTGGTCCGTCCCATGGCGGTTCTGAACCGCGTTCTGAGATCACGACGACCGGGAAGCTTCTTCTTACTCCGGAGCTTCCGCTCCTCGTCTTTTCTAAATTCCGAAACTGACCTCAAAGCGTCTGCCTCCGTCATCCCAAAGCCCCTTCCCCTGCATCGCGACGTCAACGACAGGAATGTCCAGTGGGTCTTCCTCGGCTGCCCCGGCGTCGGAAAAGGCACCTACGCCTCCCGCCTCTGCCACCTCCTCGGCGTCCCTCACATCGCCACCGGCGATCTCGTCCGCGACGAGCTCGCTGCCTCCGGCCCCTTGGCTCTTCAGGTCCCTTCCAGTTGCCCTTAGGGTTTTTGCAATTTCTGTAAATTTAATTCGTTCAAAACCTAACAAAATTATGCGAAATTGCAGCTTGCGGAGGTTGTGAATCAGGGGAAATTGGTTTCGGATGAGATTATAATAAACTTGTTGTCCAAGCGTCTTGAGGCTAGTGCAGCTAAGGGTGAAACTGGCTTCATTCTTGACGGTTTTCCGAGGACGATTCGACAGGCGGTAATACATCTTCCTTTTTATCAAAATTTTGAATAGAGAAGCATGAATTTGCTTGATATGTGGACATATTGATCATGTAGGTATAGATAACAAAATGTAGTAGTCAGAATTGAAGATTTAGTTCAGATTAGTAGAGTTGAAATGTGAAAGTAAATTTGTGGTGTCTGAAAAATGATTGCTTGTTTATACTGCCATCCAAATTCCGGCATAGCGAAATTACTATTTCCATCTTGCTTCTTTTCGTGTCAAAAGTTATTGCTTTTTTACGAATTTAATGTTTGTCTCGACCGAAATCTGAATTCGGCTGGTTGGTTCAAGTCTTAAACAAGGTTGTCTTTTGTATTATAACTTGCCCTTTAAGTTTTGATTATTTTGCAGGAAATTTTGGAGGGAGTGACAGACATTGACTTGGTTGTCAACCTAAAGCTTCGTGAAGAGGCTTTGCTTGCGAAGTGTCTTGGAAGGAGGATTTGTAGTGAGTGTGGAGGAAATTACAATGTTGCCTCCATTCACATTAAGGCCGAGGATGGGAACCCTGGCATGTACATGGCTCCACTTCTTCCCCCTCCACAATGTGCATTAAAGCTGATCACGAGATCCGATGACACTGAAGAAGTTGTTAAGGAGCGACTTCGTATATACAATGATATGGTATTGTTTCAGCATCTTGGGAATGCTCTTTTACATTCTTGTTAAGTATTCAAGCATTAAACTTATCAGTGTTTAAGATTAAAAATGTTTGAGATTAAGAATTGTTTTTGTTATTAGTCCTTTAATTTTAGATATAGCAACAATAGTATTCAGTTTTGGTTCGGTTAGTAATCTGTGGATTACATATCATCTTCTTCTTGCAGAGTCAACCCGTGGAGGAGTTCTACCGAAGTCGGGGAAAATTGTTAGAGTTTGATCTTCCCGGAGGGATTCCCGAATCCTGGCCAAAGCTACTTCAGGCTTTGAATCTGGAAGACCCTGAAGACAAATGGTCTGCAGCAGCATGATTCATAAATCCTGTACTATATACACTAGACAAAGTTTTCATTAGGTAAGCTATATCATTCTTTGCAATGTCATGGAAGCAGATGCATATAATTTGCAATTGAAGGGGAAAACTTTGGTGTGCAATAAAAAGCAGGTATGGTATTATTCGTTTGCAAAGTTGAGCATTTGTAATATTCAGTCATGTTCTTTGTGTGACTGATGCTTTAGATCGTAGTGATTATCTTTCGTGGGAAGTAAATTTTTCATTGCACCACAAGTTTGCCATGTTTTAATGAAATTGTATCGTTTAACCAAATGTAAATATGGAATTATGTACACAAACCATAGGAGAAAAACATGAAAAAGTTTCCATTTGTTTTCTTGTCATCTTTTTTCCTTTTCATGCATCTGCTCTTGGGTTCTTGTTGAGAACATTCTTCTAAACTGTCAAAGACTCGGTTTACCGATATCGTTGTCTTCATGGTCAGGTTTAAAGTTAGAGTTCCCTCTCCCCCCTCCCCCTCGTTGCAATTTGCTTGGGTCAGAGTGATACTTCTCATTCCAGCGTCAGAAGAGGTTTAAAGTTAGAGTTCCCTCTCCCCCCTCGAACGAGGGACAAAGGGGAATGGACATGTTGCATTATGTGGGTTCTAACCATGTAAAGAATAAAATGTTGGATCGGACGAGGGTTAGCGTCGTTCGGAATCCAATCTGGTGGTGGTTGATGCTGATGCTTAAAGTTTTGTTTCTGTATTTGTCAATAGAAGATAGATTTATCGACTTGTAAACCATCTGAGGTATATTAATCAACTTTGCACCTTGAAAATATCTATGTGTGTTTTTACAAAAAAATTTCTCCAAACATGTGCAAGAAATTACACCGAGGGCGAGCCTTAGTGCGATGGAAATGTTGCTCTTTTGTGACCAAAAGGTCACAGGTTTGATTCATAGAAACAACTTCTTTGCAAAGCAAAAATAAGGTTGTGTACGATAAATGTCCTTCCCTCGACCCTCGCAATGTGAGGGTCTTGTTGACTTGTCCTCGCCCCATATGTGCAAGAAATTACCTCATGATATTTGAAGAAGCTATACCCTAGAACAATGTTCGTCAAGCCAATTGATTATCTAGGAAAAATTTAACCAAAACTCCTTGGAATTTTACACTTGTCCAAACACCCATGTGAACTAAAATTTGTACAATCAACTACCCAAATCTCAAGTCGTGTGACAACTTGGCACTGTGTCCACTTTCATTCAAGTATATGGCAAATAGTGGCAAATTGTTTAAGTATGGGTGTTTTTAAGAACATTCTAATCAGTATTAAAAACTTTTATGATATTTCTTGAAGAAATGTAAATGAAATGTCAATCCTAATTTGAAAACATATTGAAGAAACAGTTTTATGAAATCAATATCATTTTTATTTCGATTCTAGAAAGTTTTAGTAAACAACTTTTATAGAAATCAAAATTTTGATACTCCTCAATCAAGTTCCTCTTATTTTAATTGTGGTTAAGTAAGCGAGCCCTAAAATCTTGTAAATACCTCAATAATGTAGAGAATGCCCTTAAAAAGGGCCTAAGCACCCAGTAAGTGCCATTATTTAATTGAAATTAGGTGAAAAGGGATGAAGGTATCAAATAATCAAATAATTAAGAAGTTTGGATGATTAATTGTAAAATGTTTCAATCCAAAATGCACAAAAGCTAAAATATTAATTCATCAAGTCCTATATTATAGAGTTTGAATTTTATTAGAAGTGATCATTTCAATCTCATAGAAGATAAATTTTCTATTGCAATCGATAACACAACAGGACAATTCTTAAAAAGACGGATAATGTACTTTTTTATTTATTTATATTTTTAGACCAAACGATGTTATTTACATTAAGGGTAGGGGATGAGCTTAGCCTCACAATGAACTAGTAATAATGTGGTTCAAACTCGTCTTTGACGAGAATTAAACCTAAGATCTCTCACTTACAAGTGAAGAAGAATATCACTAGATTGTAGTGTGAAGAAAAATATCACTAGATCGTAGTATTAAGTTACTTTACTGTTTAAATACATAACAGTTATTTATGCTAAATGACCCAAACATTTAAAACGGTGCTGAATAACCTAAACATTTAAAACGGAAAATTGATGACGTGGGATTTCAAGCAGATATTTTTACGATGACGTGGACCATTCGGTGAGGGAGGGCATTTTGGTCGGCTTCGGGTCTGCTGTCCCGAAAGTGGCGTCTCCTTCATGTCTCCTTCTGCTCTGACTGCATAACCAGGGGGAGGGGGAGGGGATGGGCGGGGACTGGAAACTGGGGGAGTTGTTTCTGCTTCTTTTTTTTTTTTTTTTTTGTTTTTTTTTTGACTTATTTATTTATTTTTAATTTAGTAAAAGTTAACATAGTTAAATTAGAATTAAGGGGTTTTTTGAAATGAGTCAAAAGTAACTAAAAATTGGACCTATTTCAAAAGTCAAAAGTAACTAAAAATTAGACCTATTTCAAAAGTCAAAAATTACTAAAAATTGAACCTATTTCAAAAAACAATTTATAAAATTGGACCTATTTTAAATTTTCTCTAGAATTTTAAGTGATAGTACACATTCAAACAAATAATGAAGGAAACATGAAGGAGATACCACTTTTGGGACAGCAGACCCGAAGCCATTTTGGTCCTCCCACAAACAGTCTTTTACGCCGTTAGTGTTGGAACCCGCCAAATCCGTCTCCTACAACGTCGACGAATCCAAGCGTCCCATGACCTTTTACTCTCCCCAAAACTCGACACGTGTCAAGCGCGAATCCGGCAAGTCCTACTACCCCAGTTATCCCACGTGGCATATGTCATCGGTGGAGTTCCCGACCACCACTACGTCCACGTCATCTACGTATAATATCTTTATCTCAATTTTCGAGACTTACGCCTATCCCCTGCTTCTTCTGCTCCGCCGTCGCGCTACCGCTGAAGCCGTTTTTTTTTTCTTTCTCCGATGCTTATTTTTCTCTTTGTTCTTTTGTACTTCAGAAGAGAAAAGCCCTAACGCGCTCTCAGCTCGGAAGATTCAGACCTTCGTAGTAAAAATATCTGAATCAAAGGTGGGGATCGAGCTCAGAAAATGTCTAATTTTTTAGTATTTTTAGCTATATTTTCTGGATTTAGAGGTCTAAAATCGAAGTAATCAAATTAGTTTCTCAGTTTATTAAAATTTTAATCTTTTGACATTTTATTCAGTTTATTGTACTTGGTTTAGTTGATTTTAGTGCAGTATAGTGTTAATTTCACTTCAATTTCCTACTGTTTTTATTTTATTATTTTTTATATATCTGTTAAAGGAGCAAATCGAGCAAATCTGTTGAATCTTTGGTAGGTTTGGTTGCTAAATTTGAAAATTGAGTGAGAAAAATATTTTGCTGTATCAATTTTCATGGTGAATAGAATATTGGGAAGATTGTTTGAACTTGAAGTAATCTTTGTTCTGGTTAGATAAATCAATGGGGATGAAGGGTGTTTGCTTGCTTTCGAATCGATTTTGCATCTGATGGTTTTTGTTGAGCTGTACTCCATTTTAGGTCTTGTTAATGCTTGTATCTTGAAGACAACGGGATGTGCAACGTGATCCCATTGTCTCTTTGAATCTGGTTGATGGGGAAAGTTGGGATGAATAGCAATAGTCCTGTTACCAAAGAGCGTGCGGAAGTAAATTGCCACATGCAAGATGAGAACAAGGAAACTAAGGATGGGGTTATGGGAGAGGGGCGAGGGCTCCCAAAAGAAGATGATTTTTGGGATAATGAGGACTTGCAATGCATACATGATGGGCGGGCAGAACAACAGCTCCAAGGGTGGGAGGAGTTCTTATCTGTCAGGTCTCTGAAGGTTCTGCTAGTGGAAAATGATGATGGAACTCGTAATATTCTTCGTGCTTTACTGCAAAATTGTGGCTACGAAGGTTAGTATAATGCAACACATGAGATCCTATGTGTAGGACTAGGATCAGTTGAAGTGTACTGGTGTAGATCTTTGTATGACATGATATTTCAAGTTTATAGGTTGCTTTCAGTTGTATGATCGATCAATATACGTGTAGATTTCAGTAAAAGTATTTTAGTTGTAAAAGTTAAAAGGCTGCAATTAGTATTTAGTATTTTTTTAATACTAAACAAGAATGTTTATTTTGTAACACACTCACCCTTGTATTGTGGAATTTAGGTTTTTTTTTTTTTGTTAACAAAGGATTAAAAAAAAAAAAAAAAAAAAAACTTAATCCACTAAGACTTAAGGCATTTAATTTCATCCTTGTGCGCTGCCGACGATATGAGACTCCGGTGCTTAATCCACTAAGGTTGTCAGTAACTGAGGCATCTACGATCTCAGACAATAATACAAATTATGTAGTCTTCAAATCAAAGGCTTTCCTTATGATGTTAAAGTTGTGACTGAAAACATTTTTGCAATCGTAAAAATGGATTTTATGATTCTAATTTTCATATGCTTTAGAGTTGAGGGTTCTTTGAGAAAGTTCACTTTGCAAGAGTAATAGACTCGATAGTTCACTTCCAATTATCTTAAATAATTTGGGAAAATAAGGCTAATTTCCATTTCCTGTAATTGCTTTTCTTTTTTTTTTTTTTTTTTTTTTGTGGTAAAATTAACAGTGGATTCGATCTTTGCAGTAATAGAGGCAGATAATGGTATACGAGCTTGGGAAATCTTAGAAGATCTTACAACTCATGTTGATCTTATTTTGAGTGAGGTTGTCATGCCCAGTTTGTCAGGCATGGATCTCCTGACCAAGATAATGGACCACAAAAGTCGCAGGAATATTCCTGTAATTAGTAAGTATACTTTTACATTTTTACTCAGGTGAACATAATACTGATTTACCTGTAGTACTTTGAGAAGGTCGATACTTTAGCTACTGAACCTGGTGTGTTTTGTGCAGTGATGTCGAGTCAAGATTCTATGAGTACAGTTATCAGGTGTTTATCGATGGGCGCAGTTGACTTTCTATTGAAGCCTATTCGAAAGAATGAACTCAAAAACCTCTGGCGGCATATTTGGAGGAAATGCCACAGGGTAAGTAGCTCTAGTTATTACATTTTATGTATGATACTATGTCGTGGAACTATTGTTTTCAGTTTGGATTTCGTTTATACATTCAAGCATCAGTGCATCACCAGAGCACATGCAGAATTTTGATATCTATTTTTTCGCTCATTACTCATCCTTTCAGCAATCTAGTGGTAGTGGGAGTGCAAGTGATATCAGAACTCAAAAATCTACAAAGTCGTCAAGTTTTGAGGAGTCAGACAAGAACACTGGCAGTAATTGTGATGATAACATCGGCCTTGGAAACATTGGTCTGACTGATAGGGATGAAGGTGACAATGGAAGTGGCACTGAGGTATGAATTCGTCCGGTCTAGGATCTTTCTGGTTCTACGTTTTTAATCATTTATCCTCTCTTGGCTGGTTTATTCTATTTCATTTATCAAGTATGTTAGGTGTTGATTGGTAAGTATCAGTCAGCTTACTAATTGCCTTCACTTTACTATCATATAAAAGAGTAAACTAACGTTTGAATTCTTTTTCATTGCACTCGATTTGCATATATGTACACCTAACATTTAATCACGAACTTGAGTAAAATTAAACGTAATTTAAACCGGAAAGATAAATGATCATTTGCAGTAAAAAATATCTTTTCATGTTGAGGTTGTTTGGCTGCAATGTTCTGTGCCACCCAGAACGAAAAGTGATCTCCCAAAAGATCTTTCTGGAGAAGCTTCATCAAAGGAATCGTTATATGCAGACTGGAGTTGCAAAGCACTGAAGCTACTATATCATGTTTCACCGTTGTGTGAGAAAAAGAAGATGCTTTAAACGAATTGAATATAATAAGTGAGACGTCAAATATAACTTGCTTGGATCTCGTTGAAGCTCTTCCATTCCAATAACATAATATAGCAATCCTCTACTTTTCGAATCACATTTGCTCTAACCACCCCATGTAGCAATCCTCAACTTAGGACAAGATTAATGTTGTGTTCCTTTCAAGTGCAAAAATAAGGATAGTATAGTGGCACAAGTAAGTGTGTCGAACCACATGGACTACAAATTACTAGCTTGATGTGAACCCTAACTAAACAATGAAAATGCAAACTGAATTTAGATTTTTCAATTGAAAGTTTAAATAACTTAAAAATGCAAGAAAGATAAAGATAAATGATATGTTGATTCAGAAATAATGGGAATGGAACTAAGGATACCGATTTCACCATTACAAGTCAATTCCATGAAAATTAAGCCAAAACGCATTCAACTCTCCAATCTGCAACTAGGGTTCATTTTACTTATTTACGATCATCCATTTGATGTGTGGTTGTGATCAAGTAGTCATAATCTGCAACCTAGTTGTGATGTTCAACTTAGATTACCAACTAAGAATCCATTAAGAACAAGAAAACTTCAAAAAACCAAAGAAATCACATGGCAGGATGTATGCATAGCAGTTTCTTTATTCATTCACATGTCTACCAAGATTAAGCATGATGTGTACTATAACCTTGATCAAATAATTCATAAGCAGCCCTAATGGTGATCAAACATTAAGATTAACAAACATATTAAACTATAAAATCAGTGAATGAGACAAGAACACAGATTGGTGAATCGAATACTTTAACTTAATAACATAGAATAGTTTTGTAAGGCTACATTGAAATCCGCAGCTATGAACTTAATTACACAACATGATTACAGAATATATAAATATCAAGAACAACATGGGTGAAACTAAAGTTCATAGAAGAAACCCACTTGAAGCAATTCTGATGTTGAAATCCTTCAAGAACAGCATGGCTGCGTGGTTTCTTCAGTGGCAGTGGATGGTGAAGGGAAATAGGGTTTTGTTTCTGGTAGAAAGGCTAAAGAAAGAGAAGAGAGAGAGCTCTGGGCGACCCCCAAGGGGGGCTTGTGAAAAAGTGATCTGAAACCCTAATATTTATATGCTAAATGGGGCTATAGCTGATTGCAAGGTGATCCTAACCATTAAGCCAAAGTTTTGAACATTTTTCCTTATTTGGCTCCTCCAAATCAAGCTAGATATTCCAATTCTTTTTCCATTCTGCTCTTGGTCTTCTAACAAGCCAGATTTGTTTTGGATTCTTTATTTAGGCTTCAAAACAGACCACTAAACTTTTTTCCACGTTTGAATAAGGATCAGCTCCAAAAGGGGCATGTTTTCACTTCTTTTGCCCTCAAATTGATCCTAAAGTACATGTAACTGCACACTAACACAAAATAGGGTAAAATGCAACCAGTTTAACTCAAAAACATCACAAAGAGACTAGAAATGGATGGTAAAAATGCATGAAATATATTAGTTATCAAATACCCCCAAAAATGGTTTTTGCTAGTCCTCGAGCAAAATTATAACTAAAAACACACAAAAACAATAAAATCTAACTATACCACTTTCGTTGGCTAAACGATTGCACTGAGCATGTGCAACAAGCCTTTAAACCTCTAGGTGTCCCTAGTCGGAAGAGTTGTGTCTCCTAAGGATTTATAGTGATGACACCCACAAACATCTACAGACTCTGCAAACAAATTGGTTAAAGCATACTTAAAACAAACTAATAAGAACCAATGAAAGCTTAGTCATACATTCAAACCAAAAGTCTGCCACTTCAAAGAATCATATCATGTGTAAAGTGTAAGAATATTACTCCATGACTCATGACTTCAAAGACACCATACTCAAATGCTAAAGATAGAATTCGCCTCATCTCTATTCCTCTCAGATATCACTCAAATTTTCAGATCCTAAGGTGTAGTCTCTCCACAAACATATGTGAATAAAATTATGTAAAAGGGAATCAAAATTCTCACATATGAAATATGAAAGAAAAGCAGAATTTCTGAACATATCTCATGAAATGAATCGAACACTAAGAATGTGGATAACACACATACTGACCATCACCCACGTATACATCATCAAAGATCAGCTAGGTCTTTCACACGATTGTAATGTAAGGCTTAGGTGGGGCTATGAAAGAATGGATAGGAAATACTAGAGCTTGGGACATACCAAAGTGTCTTTGTTGTGAAACCAGCAAGCTCTCCTCTTGAATTGATCTTTGTTGTTTATTCTTGGAGTCCAGGACCCATGCATGATAATGGGAAGATTTGGGAATTGCTTCTTCTTTGATTTTTTTTTAACTTTTTTTTTTCTTTCTATTTTTGCAATTCTAGCACATATTACCTCGGTACACGCCACATTCTTGATCTAGAGCTCAATCTATCTGTGTCTTCATCACTTTGGTATTCCCCAAACTATAGGGTATGGCTTAATGGGCTAAGTATCTTTGATTGAGATGAAATGGTAGGGAAATATAGTGGTGAGAAAAGAAAAACGCTAAAAGTGTTTGGCTTCAAAACGGGGTAATGACACACACATAAAGGCAAGGAATTTGGCCTTTTGGTGGTTTAAACATGCATAGTCTAACATTGTCTCATTGAGTTCATTCATGAGTGATACCAAACATATGGTATCTGCAAAAGAGAATAATTCTTAGCATTCAATCAAACAGAAATAAGAGATCATTTAAAGTGAAATTGAAAGAAAAAGATAGGAGCAGAAACACTTTAAACCCTCTCAAAGAAGCAAATAGGCTCAAAATAACTCACCAGGGTAGTCTCCACTATTCTTCTTCCAGAATTTGAGCATGGTACATTTACCATCATAATGCCAAGAGTAACAGTTTTGTAAAAGAAAAATAAGATACGAAACTTTTTCATGACAACACTGTAGTTTCATTTGTAAACATAGCCCTCATATACATTCACATTAGTAAGCAAAAGTAAACTTAACCAAAACTAAAAACAAACGAAAATTTTCAATCCCACACCCCCAAACCTAAACTAAGCATTGTTCTCGATGCTTAAAAATGAATGGAATGCATGTAGTGCAAATAGGCAGTGTGTGGAATAAAATAAAACTAAGACACAAATAAAAGGAAAAAACACAAACCCAGTTAGGTTGCCTCCTAGCAAGCACTTTATTTAACGTCTAGGCAAGACGCGGTGGGTCTGATGGATGAATGCCTAGGGTGGCAGGAAGGCAAGATGCGGTGGGTCTTATGGATGAATGCCTAGGGTGGCAGGAAGGCAAGGTACCCCCGAACCTTGGTCGAAAGATCTTTCGAGAGACTTTGAATACGGTGCGTTGAATTTCCATAATGACTTGATTATGATGGTGTTTTCGTCTCTCCTTGCGAAGAAGCATATCCTCAAAAATTGTTGAAGATGTGGCTGGAGCAATGATTTCAATGGATGCGTTTGTGGCTGCTAAGGATGAATGAAATTCGTTCAAGACAGCAATCTCATCATTTAGCTCCGAATCTTCTTTTTTATGGTGAATGGGTAGCAATGATTTGTCATCAACTTCAATATATTTTCCTCTTGATATGGTAGCAAATCATCTCCAAAAGACTCCAAAGATGGCACCTGCAAAGATGTAAAACAACAGGGAGAATCCAACATAACTTTTGAAAAAAGTTCAAGCGAATTGGGAAAGAAATTCAAGTTCAAGATCTTCTCTATGTATATAGGCACAACTAGATTCCAATGATTGTTCAATGTTCACATCTTGACCATCACCCCAAGGTTGTTGTTCATTTAACACTTGGACAATCTGCCCCAATTGAATTTCCAACTTGGTAAGTGCGTGTAGTGTTCTTGAATCATGCTACTTGTTGATTGTTGAAATTGTAAAGTGCTTTGAGCAAGTAGCTCCAAAGTGTCCTCCAATGAAGTGTCAAAGGGGGTCTGCTCTGGGAGAGGTGCAAATGCTTGATTTGGAGCTTCCATACTGCTCCAAGATTCATGATTAGGGTTTCTCCAAACAGAGCTATATGTGTTTGACAATGGATGCAATGGCTCTTGGTTAGAGAAACACATACGGTGTGAGTGCTCTCAGACAAACGTAGGAAACTCATATCTCCTTGGGTAGAATTGAAGAGGATGGCCAGTTTTTGGGCAAAATGGACATTCGCTGTACATCTCTCTATACCACCTGAAATCAAACAACCTAAAATGTAAATTAAAAATCTGAACTAAGAAAAGAAAAACGGATAAGGTTTATAGAGTAAGCAATTATAGGGGACTGAAATCAATCCCTGGCAACGGCGCCAAAATTTTGTTGTGTTCATTTCAAGTGCAAAAATAAGGATAGTATAGTGGCACAAGTAAGGGTGTCGAACCACAGGAACTGATTAGACCTCTACAAATTACTAGCTTGATATGAACCCTAACTAAACAATGAAAATGCAAACTGAATTTAGATTTTTCAATTAAAAGTTTAAATAACTTAAAAATGCAAGAAAGATAAAGATAAATGATAGGTTGATTCAGAAATAATGGGAATGGAACTAGGGATACCGATTTCACCATTACAAGTCAGTTCCATGAAAATTAAGTCAAAACGCATTCAACTCTTCAATCTGCAACTAGGGTTCGTTTTACTTATTTATGATCATCCATTTGATGTGTGGTCGTGATCAAGTGCTCCTAATTTGCAACCTAGTTGCGATGTTCAACTTAGATTACCAACTAAGAATCCATTAAGAACAATAAAACTTCAAAGAACCAAAGAAATCACATGGCAGAATGTATGCATAGCAGTTTCTTCATTCATTCACATGTCTACCAAGATTAAGCATGATATGTACTATAACCTTGATCAAATAATTCATAAGCAGCCCTAATGGTGATCAAACATTAAGATTAACAAACAAATTAAACTATAAAATCAGTGAATGAAACAAGAACACAGATTGTTGAATCGAATACTTTAACTTAATAACGTAGAATAGTTTTGTAAGGCTACATTGAAATCCCTAGCTATGAACATAATTACACAACATGATTACAGAAAATATAAATATCAAGAACAACATGAGTGAAACTAAAGTTCATAGAAGAAACCCACTTGAAGCAATTCTGATGTTGAAATCCTTCAAGAACAGCATGGCTGCGTGGTTTCTTCGGTGGCAGCAGATGGTGAAGGGAAATAGGGTTTTGTTTCTCGTAGAAAGGCTAAAGAAAGAGAAGAGAGAGGCCTCTGGGCAACCCCCAAGGGGGGCTTGTGAAAAAGTAATTTGAAACCCTAATATTTATAGGTTAAATGGGGCTGTAGCTGATTGCAAGGTGATCCCAACCATTAAGCCAAGGTTTTGAACGTTTTTCCTTATTTGGCTCCTCCAAATCAAGCTAGATATTCCAATTCTTTTCCCATTCTGCTCCTGGTCTTTTAACAAACCAAATTTGTCTTGGATTCTTTATTTGGGCTTCAAGACAGGCCACTAAACTTCTTTCCATGTTTGAATAAGGATTAGCTCCAAAAAGGGCATGTTTTCACATCTTTTGCCCTCAAATTGATCCTAAAGTACATGTAACTGCACACTAACACAAAATAGGGTAAAATGCAACCAGTTTAACTCAAAAACATCACAAAGAGACTATAAATGGATGGTATAAATGCATGAAATATATGAGTTATCAATTAAGCATCTGAGATAGGGACAATAGTAGGAAAATAAGTATGGGATATCACGAAAACTATATGATGGTTTTTAAGACAGGTAAATCCAGTAAGATAATGTAAGATGAATTCGGTGTGTACTCTTCTAACATATTGCAGGACAGAGGCTTATAATATTAATTATCTAGACTGGTGTTAGCTTACTTCGCAGCAGCTGCGAACCTGGAGCAGACCAGGCAGTGCACACAATTGAGAAATATCGAAACCAATGGCATGAATACAGTTAAAAGAAGAACTTGGTAGCTGGATATCTTCCTTTATGTTGGATCTGTTTACGTAATTCATACATTTATGCATAAAGTTATATGCGAGATAGGAGAGTAGGAGAGGCACTGATCAATTTCCAAGCATTAGCTTGGGTTTATTTTTTCAGATCACTCAGGCTAATCCTTCAAGGGCTGACACATTTGGCAATGACGGGGTGCCTGCATTTAAAACTAGCGAGTGCGAAGGCCAGGATGAAGAGCTTGGTAGGCATCTTGGTTCTAATTATCTATTGGTTTCCTTTTCTCCGTCTTTTTGCTAGTTAAAAGGTTGCTAGCTTTTTATCTTCAGATGAGATTGTCGTGGGTAAAGAAGACTTGGCTGTAGGACTTCCTAGAACTTCAGTTTTGCAGCTTGATGAACCAAAAGAAAAAGGGTTAACCAACATGGCCAGCGCTAATAAAAACAAACTTTCAGAAACTGACTCAATGATCGGAGGTGAACAAATAGAGAAGGGACAACCAGAGCTCAACAATGAAAAAGCAAATCGGGAATTGAGAAACCTGGCTGCTGATCTAATGGGTTGCTTCGGTAACAGTACCACCGATCCTCAGATGCAATGTGTTATGTGTGACAGCCCAAATGGTGTCTCCAAGGTTCCAGAGACAAAAGCTAAGACCATCCATGACAGTAAAGAAACTCCTTCTCTTGAGCTCACTTTAATGACGCAGAGAGATGTTCGAAATACTGGGTTCAGTGGTCATGATCGAAATGTTCTGAGACATTCAGACAATTCAGCCTTTTTAAGGTATGCAGATACTCAGAAATTGAATCACAGTCATCTCTAACGACGTTTAAGTCAACTTTTTCTACTCTGAAAATATTTTTTCGTACTGCGCAGGTACAACTTTCCTACAAATTCTAAGCAGGCCCCATCTGGGAATGTTGGTAGCTATTCTTCTCTCGATAATAGCTCAGGGGCAGCAAAAGCAAAATCATTTCAAAATTTTCAATATAATTCGTATGGCACTCCTCTCTACCAGCGTTCCAATGGCTCTAGCAATAACAATGACACTGGCTCAGCCACAAATAAGTTCTTCATCAATGAAGAGGCATCTGAAGACAAGGCAGAGCCGGGATCAACAATGAAATGTCTCCACGAATCCTCTGTCTTCCAACCAGACCATAACAGGACTATGGCGTGTAACCAGCCAATAGAACATGGTTATGCCGATGCTGCAGTCCATAACACAACTTTGTCACAAGGATGGAACATGAATCAGCATGTGCAAGTGCAGCAGCAGCACCATATGTATAACGTGCGTCAGCATCAGCAGATACTGAATAATGATGATTTGACACTGAAAAATCTGGCGGCAGCAGCTCCACTTTGCGGGTCATCCGATGTGCAGTGTGCACCAATGGAAGAGAATGTTGGCAGTAACAGTTTGCACGGGTGTGCCTTAGAAAGAAACAACAGTAGCAACGGGCAGAGTGGGGGTAGCTTTGCCATAAATTCTAGGGGAACTTACACGGAATCTGGTAAGAACATAGCTGGAGAAGAAGGAACCATCAGTGCAACTGAAAATGGGAGCAAAAGTGGAGTTGATCAAAACCGTCGTGCACAAAGAGAGGCTGCTTTGCATAAATTCCGCCAGAAGAGGAAAGACAGATGTTTCGAGAAGAAGGTAACTCTAGTTGTGTTTTGAGTTTTCAGTTTTGTCATATGTAATTCTTACCTGTATGGTTAATTCAGTTGAGTATTTAGCAGAAAATCTTAACCCTTTTCAGGTGAGATACCAGAGCAGGAAAAAACTGGCGGAACAAAGGCCGCGTGTTCGCGGACAGTTTGTTCGACAGGTAGTAAATGAAAACAAAGGCAACGACACAGATAGCTAAGCTGACTAGTGGTTTTGTACATGAGAACAGCACTATAGCTATGTATACCGGATGGAGCATCTGTTTCCTTGATGCAGGATACGGGCATACAACATTCGGCATTCAAAAGTATATAGAACTGATATGGTTAAAGACTAGATTTACTGCGCGGGGACAACATAACACGCATGGATTTATGTTTATTGCTTTTTGAATCGAACAATTTCTTTTGCGATTATTACTGAATGGGTTTTATGTTAATGGATTTTTATATGTTCCTCGAATCAAACGATGAAAACCTCGTACATTCAAACAGAACAGAGATTGCACTTTGCACTGGTAATTCATATTGTCCAGCGGCTAGCCTAGAGAGCCGCTCGACAATATGAATTATGAAAAAGCAAATTGGGTGCCCTAACATCATCAGGTCAGCCTCACACAACAGGATCCTCTCCGGATTCTTTTGGTGAGGATATTGAGGATCCGTGAATCGTGCTCATTCATTGTACATCTTGCGATCAGTTTTTGTCAAGTATTGTTTGTGTTTAATTTTAAATAAAAATATTTAAAATAAATTTTCACTGCACGATATACAATAAACGAACAAGATTAACAGATTTCCGGATCCTCAATATCCGGATTCGAGCCTTACTATTATTCACAATGCAAAACATGTGCTAATTATCCAAAAACGTTCCTTTTAATTCGGGCTACAAACCTTCTGTATCAGCAGACTCAGCACCCTACACCCACTCCGGTCACCCTCTCTATCAGCAGACTCAGCACCTGCACAGTGCGCACACATCCCTGGCGCCGTCGGTGTCGGGCTACTCTTGTCGCTTATTGACGGAGGGGAAGGTGGTGGTGAAATGACCGGTCAAATCATCAATAATGTTAACCGCTGATCACACAGAAGACAAGATTAATTGCATGTACAAAGTTAATTAGTATCTATTTTAATGCAAAAATAAATCACAAATGAAAGAGAAAAGGGAGAGAGGTAACGAACACTTGAATTTTGTGAGGGAGAGAAATGGTTCGGCGGACTAACTTCCATTCCATCAAGCAATTGAAAGACTAAAACTGTGTCAGGTGCGTTTACCCTCGTAAAATATCGTTCGGCAGAAGAAAATATGCGGTGATTGGTTTAGTTGGTAATGACCATTCCTTCGCTATACCAGATCTAAATTTAACTCACAATCTTTCTTAGTGTACGATCTATAAAAAAATTTTAAAAAAATAATAATAAAATAATACCCACTTTATAAGAGAGATTTGTCGTATGTCTTGAATAGCGTAAACTCCGCTCTCGTAACCCTTGGATCATTTCACCTTTATGATTTACTCACAAAAATACCATAGACGACTTGCCTTGCATATTGTAGTCTCGTCCACCCGTCCGGTGGTTCCCATACCCTATCAAATCTTGGTTGTGGCCATCCGGAACAAAGAATCTGTCCTCTTATATGAAGCACAAAATATGACTCGGTGGCCCCTATGGCCTAACTTCTATATGATTTCGTGAACATGTATTGTGTCTGCAGCTGCATTGTTATCGTCTTTCCAAATTCCAAGACTTCGTATTTAGTTAAACAAGCCGAAACAAGTCACTTACTACAGTTTAATAGTATTTCTTTTTATTTGTAAGTGAAATATCTTATATTCGATTCTCGTTAAAGACGAATTTGAACCACATTATTACTAGTCTATTGTGAGGGCTAAGCCCACATCTTCCTCTTAGCGTAAATAATATCGTTTATTTAAAAAAAAAAAAAAAAAAAAAGCCGAAACAAAATTTGGCTTAATTAAATGGACATTCCTGCCATTTAGTACTATGGTTTAGTGATATTTCTCTCCACTTGCAAGTGAGAGTTCTTTATATTAGATTCTCGTTAAATGTGAATTTGAATCACATTATCCCCCTGTAATGGAAGTTATTCTTTGCAAATGTGAAACTCACAAATTAAGAACTCTTAACCGCTTGAATTATCAGATCACTATTACGAGTCACATTATATTAGAGACTAATCAGTAATCACAATTCTTTTAATGTTGCAACTTATATATGCTCAACATTGTTATCTTTTTTACCATAAAATCATGGTGCAAATATTTTATTACACGGTAAAAATAAACGTCTAAATTGGAGCTCTACGAGATTAGTTTTTCATGGTTCGAGTTCTATTGCCTCAATCACTTTCTGGTTTTTATTTTTTATGTTCTCATTGTTATTATTATTATTTATTTCTCAGCTTGCTTCTGTCGATAAGTAGATTTTGTTCTTGTAATTATCTCACGTGATGTATGTGACTTGTCATAGTTAGCTTGAGTTATGGGACTCTTGTACGTATACATGTTCAACATTGTCACTCTAAATATGCAAGCAAGGAAGAAGAATGTTAAGAATTACGCACTCATTTGAAAATATTTTTTTAATGACTAAAAAAGCTTTTGGTGAGTCCCGCTATACAGGCTTGATATTTAGTTTCCTCTTTTTCTTGTTTTTTTGTTGATTTGCCTATTGTCACTTTCTGGTGCTGTGACTTCTGTACGCTCTCCTTCATTTTAGACGAAGGGCTAAACCACAAGTCTCTACTGCTTCAAAAACTCAGGATTCAGAGAGGTGGACAGGAAATGAATGGGATCTCACAGAGTCCTCTAGTTCCGTTCCGGCCCTCCTACTTAGTTCCTCTAGACGTTTTGGATGAAATTGATTTTTGGGCCAAAAATACAGTGTTTTTTTTTTTTGGAAGAAACATCAAATATGTATATGTTACATGAAGCACATAAATTTTTTTTCATAATTAGCTTGGATTTTTATCAATAATTGGTTTCTGAAACATTTTCGCTAAAAACATTTTCAGATTTAAAAAAAAAATACTTCCAAACGAATCCTGCAGTGTCAAACATATATACAAAGCCAAATTGCAAACCTGTTTCGAAAACTCATCTAAAATTCATAAATCCCATTTTTGCTTATGCAGTGGAAATAAATAAACAATTAATAATTAATGCAGAACGAACTGTAATTCATTAAAAATTTAAAATCGCGATCTAACTAATCATTCGAGTCCAAAACACGATGCTCATGATTTTGCGGTAAGAAAGTAGAAATATATGAAGTAGCAGCTTCATTCATTTTTCATGGTTTTACTTCAACGGAATGAAAAGCATATATAAATTTGATAGTTTTTAGTATAATGGCAGTAAAGATGTCTGAGAATATGAATTTATCGATCCATCGCCGACTAAATTGTGGTATGAGATATTAGAGTGAACTAAAATTGTTCGTTGGGAAAATTTGTTTGACTAGTTCGGCAAAATGCATCATGAAAATGACATAAGTTTCCATTTACCTCCTTTCATTTATTTCATATTTCTTCTTCTTTTGACTCGAGTTTGCTGCTTTTCATGTTTCTTCTCCCTTTTGACTCGAGTTTGCTGGTTGTCGAGAACTTAATGAGATCGACTTCAAACTCACTCATCGCCATTAATTTCCACCGTCAACCTTACAAAGACTAATATGTTTTGTCTTTTATGATGTGTTTATGTAAGTGTAAAAAGAATTAAACTATAACTGAAAATTGCAATCATTCCAAATGTGTTTACCAACTTTTGAGAAATAAAAATACATATGGGACGCATCTAAAATAAAAAATAATATACCTGATTTTTCCAAAATCAGATTACCAAATAATATATAATATTTGGATTTTGTGAGAAAACCTCCAGAATCAGCTTTTTCTATCCAAAATATCCTTATTTATTCTCCCTCCCACCCCTGATTCAAGTGAGCACGAGAGAAGGGGAAGATTATGCAGAAAAATTACATGCAAAATCCAAATTTGCAAACGAAAAACATTAACTTTGAATTCTTATATGAGAATCAAGAAACCCCACAAACAAAAAATGCAACAGAATTTCATTTACAATCATCCCCATTTCTCAAAATAGTGAAGGTGTGTAATCAAACTAGAATTTAAGAGGATTTTAATACAAATTATAGTAGTTCGGGATATTTCAGAAAAAAATTGGCATGTTTCTGTTTTAATCATGTCTCCTTCTTATACGTAAAATAGGGAGGGACAAACTCATCAACGTTCTGATGATAGGAGAGAAGCAGATTCATTTGATTCTAGAAAAGCGCTTGTATACTATTCTAAGAGCAATTCCGAACATGCATAGAGAAACACATTGGATGGCTCTGATGGTGGCTCGGTGCCTAACTGAACGCTACTGACTATCGACTTTGTCAGTCAAACAGCCTCGCTACAGCATTCACCAACAATGCAATGCAAAACAATGTGCAAATCCTCAAAGAAGTTCGGTAGAGACAGTATCTATTGCTCCCTAAGCATGTGCTAGTTAATGATAAGAGTCACATTCACTACCTTTTTATTTCGGTTTCAGAACAAGTCAAGATGCAAACAAAAAATTTAAAAGAAATCTAGCATTTTCATTATGATATTAGAATTCCAGCATTCATGTCGCTACAAGAGTCTCCACAGTAGTACAACCCCAATTGCTATATTCACCCACCCTTAATTTGAAATTCCTCAAAGCATATATGGTCCTCAAGTCCTGCTACCGGGATAGAAATATTCGACACTATTTTCCTTTACTTTGAATTGAAAATTAGCCACTTTGTTTCTCGATCCCTCATGCCCATCATAAATCCCCCTGTTCTGAACTGTCAACTGCAACCAAGTACAACAATCACGGTCATAACTCCTGTATCCGTGCAGCAGTGTAGGTATTATCGATAACTATTAGGATGAACCTTTTGTGAAGTAATAGAAGACTACAACCGTAACTAGCAAGTCACAAGCAGCAAGGTAGTAAGCAATACAAACGGAAATAGTTCTCACAATTTTTCAATTGTTAACACCGGTTTGCGAAGATCAGAGAACAAGGATCTCAACAAAAAGGACCATGACACAAGCAACTATCATATATATGAGCATAACATGGTTAACAAAGCTAAGCAAATTATCTGTTTTCAGAACAACCAAAGACCCAAGCAAGCAACCACAAATGAGAAGAGGGGACCAAACAAGAATGATGTGATAGGATATAATTCCTAGAACTCCCTATAAAGAGCGACTTAACATTTGTTCTAGCAAATACCTGCCCGTGCACATCTGAGGCTAAACCAGTGGCCAACGGTTCTGCCGTTATCAGAATGTCTGCTAGATACTCCATCTGTAAAATAAGGGTAGGCTTTGCCGTGCTTGAATAGATATCCTTGTGATTGAGCATGACTAAGGAACATCCCTGAGACAAGAAAAGGGAAATAACATAAATAACGGAACAAAAGGAATGGAAGCATGAAAAGCTAGGAAACTGAGACGGTTGCAACCAATGTCTTACGAATTCTGATATTAAAGTATGGCAGTAATGCAGAAAGTCTAGCACAAGATTTGTAGATCCCTTAGCAGCCACCTCCATGAGGGAAATATCGTCAATCATAACAGTGACACAGATGTTCTCTTGAGCTAAGGCACTTATAATCTTTTGGATTTTCCCATACAAAGAAATTAGTCCACAATCACTGTTTTTTCCTTCGTCTGCATCACAATCGAATGAGATGATTTTCTTGTCATGAATTCAATGACACAAGGAAACCTGGTAATTCAGCAATTTCTGATAACCAATACTAACATTCTTACACTTTTCTCTTAACAAAATAAAGATTTATTAGCCGAAAATGGAACAATGGTTAACATCAGTCCTGCAGTAAATCCTACATTGTTTCAAACTACATTGATACAGCAACATAAAGAAGATTTTTATGCACCAGCAGGTCTCTTATATGAGGATCATTAACTAAATTTTAGCCACTCAGGACATGTAGGTCGATAAGAACATTTCGGGGATAGCATTGGGTGGAAAATTAATTAGTAATTAACAGTAACCCGGGGTGAGCCGGCAAACTTAGAAAAACCATTTTATACCTGATTTTCTCACCTGGGCAGTCCATAAGCATGTCAAGAAAAAAGAATCTATCATTGTCCCTCTGTGCAGCCAAATTGCAACCCTGTTTCAAAAAACACATCCGAAATTCATAAACCCCATTTTTATTATGTAATGGAAAATAATTTAACAATTACTAATCAATCTTAACCAAAAAAGAGAGTAAATTAACACATAAATTAGCAGCTAAACATGACACTATGAACTATTAATTAAAAATAAAAACTAAAGTTTAATTCTTTATCAGAGAGAGAGAGAGTTACAAGTCTTCGGAGGATGCGATCGTAGTGAGAGAAGGGGTGGGCGAAGGCGACAAAAACGACGGCGTTGGAGGTGGAG